TAGTCAGTCAGAGGGCTTATTAATATGTAATAATATGTATACTAAGCCTGAAGGTGGCGCTTTACTACGACGGCCATCTTGGATGGTACACATACATAACTCTGCATTGCTGCGCCATCTTGTCAGCACTCTAGTTGTTTAATAGCTCTATGGTGTAAATTAAGGGCGCCATTAAAATGATAGTGCTTAGGCGAAATTTGATTGGCTGAATCTATTGCAGCCATCTTGGACGGTACACACACAGCTCTGCGTATTTCCAACATCGAATACATTGCAGTCAGCGCTCTAGTATTCTTATATATCCCTATGATAATAACACAAAATTAAAATCAATCACGTCCAGGGTTGCCAGATAGTCGACATTCTTCTTCACAGCCAAACCCAAACCCAGAGGTGACGGAACTAGAGGGTTATGGAGAGTAATGTGTGACCGGAAATGGTCTGCAGTCAGTTGGTTGTTACCATGCGCCAGTGATGTTGGAGTATATAGTACAGCAATATTAAACTAGGCCGTAGGCCCTGTCTCTTATACACATCTAGATGTGTATAAGAGACAGGTATTCTTCAAACAAATTTCTGAAATCTATTGGATCCTCCATCCCACGTGGCATGTGCAGTTCTAGAGCACATGTTGATGCTGTGGGATAGGCTCTAGCATCCGGATTTGGTGTAAAAAATTCGACATCGATGCTGTCTTCAATCCCATTGGTGGGATGACATCAGCTCCACTGATGAATGCCAGGATGTCATTAAGGGAAGTTTTTGTCTTGCCATCTAAAATGAAGATAACATTTGTTTAATTTTGCATTAATAACAATTCACAGCATTTACTTAAACTACCTCCACCAACAGTGCTGGGCAGAGGCATCTTGAAAAAATGCATGACCTGGCGACAGGTGGAGGGAGGCAACAATGTAATAAAAATGATCAAAACAGTTTGAATTTTCATCAATTTTTTAAATTATTTAACAGTGTTTAAACTTTCTAAAATATTCAATGTCCACTTCCTTCATGTACAACCCAAATTGCTTCCAAGGTCAGCTAACACACTTACCCTCTCAAATGGTCTGATAAGCCTAATAGCCCTATGTGATTTATTGTTTATACTGAGGCTACGGTCACACTAGAGTTTCAAGCCTGGCTTGACTCACCGCGGGTAAGATTTTCGTAATGTGACCGCATCTGCACCGACTCGCGCCTGATGTGACCTCGATCTCAATCTACCTATCTCAATCCCGGCTCAGCACCCATATTGACCCTGGATTGACCCTGGATTGACCCTGGCGTGACCGAGATTGACATTTCCTCTTCGGCTGTCGACCAATCACAGTCGATGACGCCGTTGCGTTTAGAAGTTCTTGAATAAAAAACCCGCGAGTTCTTCATGTGTGTTCAATCAAGACGCAATCATTACTTTTCATAAAAGTTAATTCAAATTTTAATTAATAATAATGCGATTGATTTGGAGCGACCAGGAAACTGCTGACCTGGTAGATTTATAGAAAATAAAAAAACAAACAACATAACGGGAATTTTTGGCGTGCTTGCTGACAGATTAGCCAGTCTCGGACATGAGAAGAGAACGACGGCCCAAATTCAAACAAAAGTGAAGGCATTGCGAGCCCAATACAAGCTGAAAAAAGATCAGTTGAAGAAGTGTGGTTCGGGCACCTCTGATGTAAAATCTTTGATTGCGATCCACCCAATCACACCCGCGTACATCGAATCCCGTGAAACAGAGTTGGTCAAACTCTCCCTTACTTGCTCTGCTGTTTCGACTTTCATAATTTAGAGGTCAATCCAACTAGTGTGACCGACCCAGAATTTCGAGCCTGGCTTGAAATCTCACCCGCGGTGAGTCAAGCCAGACTTGAGACGCTAGTGTGACCGTAGCCTTAAGTGTAAACCAATTAGGTTAAGTTTATGGAGCTGCTGACAACTCCCTGGGGACCATCTGACAGGTTCCACTATGGACCATTTCTGTAACAGGAACTTTTGCCTCATACATGTAGTTTTATTCTACTGTATTTATTAAGGGCAACCCATATTATGTATTTAATATATTTCAGATTGTGTAAATTTCATTGGATAAAATTAAATTCTTACTTCTTGTTCCATTGGTACAGTCAACGTTGATGGTGGACTTGGTCTAAATAAAATATATGTTCATAATCCATGAAAAGTATATTATTACTAACTAGATATAACTATAAATACTTTGTTTTTATTTATTTATTTTATTATTTAAATCTTTTGACTGTAAACATTCAACTTTAATATATAGCAGAATTAAACAGACTTTTTCATCACTATAAATTCAATACAACAGTCCCTGTCTCTTATACACATCTAGATGTGTATAAGAGACAGGCTGTCTCTTATACACATCTCAATTGTACAGTCTAGAAAAATATAAATTCCAACTAATTAAAAAGTGAAATAATGCCTATGAATCCACTCATCATTGAAAGGCTGTAATGTTTCTTTACATTAAATTGAAGTAGCTGACTTTAAAATCACCTTTAAATATTATCAACAGTTATAACAATTAACTAAAAGCTCACCTGCTACAGCTTTTGATGTGTTTCTTCAAGATATTGAATGGGAATTCTTTTTGACACTTTGAAAACTTTTGCATTAGCCCTGAGTCCACGTCTACACCACTCTAAAAAAAAAATTATAATGTAAAAAATTAGTTTGTACGTAATTATTATCACTAGACGAAACTTAAAGATGGGTATGACATCATATTAAATTTACAAATAACTATAAAAATATACTCTATACAACTAAGTAAAAAAAAAAAAAAAAAAAAAAAAAAGTAACATGTAATAATATAATAATATGTTACTAGGATAAACCATGGAGGAAGAATAATAACCAATTAGCCATATTAGTCTTAAAGTAATTGTGATAAATTAGATTTACTGTACAGTATATCTCTTTCTGAAATGTTTTTTTTTTTAACTGTGCAAATTATTTCAATGGAAAGCATAGTGGTAAAAAATGATTAAGTTTAAATTTATAAAAGATTTCTCAAATTTAAAAAAGAATCAACATTTAACACATCATTCAATAAATACAGTACTACTTACATCCACTGGGTCCAAATTTAAGCTGTTTTGTATAGGCCGTATATAAATACGGCCTTGGCCCAGCCTGTCCTTTATGTTTTGTGGAGTATACTTCCCCCTTATGGTAACCAACTTCCTCTCACTTCCAATTCATGTTAACAACTCAAAACCTCCAGCGTCTTGAAGGTTAGGGAAGTAGGTATATAGTACTTGACAGAACTGCTCCGGACTTGTATTGAAATCTGGTATAAAAACCGTTTTCTCACCTAGCCCGACATCAATTAATAGCTGCTTTTCTTCTGACCTAGGGGTTGTATCAGCATCAGGTTTGGATAAGCAAACCATTTTCCTAGTCCAACTTTGGGTTTTGGACTTTCCCTTTTTTTTGGGGTATGGACTTTGTTTTGCAGGCATGAACCTGTGAAACACACAAGCTGTAAAACAAAATAAAGTATTCTGTTAACAATCTCCTCACAGTGTTGATAAAGTACTCCATACACCATTCCAGTTCCAACACTGATATATTAATTTTGCTATTTATGTTATTGTATAAAAACAACATTTAAAAGTGTTATTGTGGGGTCAGGGCAGTATTTGCAGATGGGATTCTTGAAAGTGATATTAGGAGTTTGAGACTCAGACTGCAGACCATACCATGAAGTAGCACGTAAAAGAGGGAAGAAATAGCAGTTTCTGCACTGCCATGGTTGGGAAATAATTATCAAACCAAACATTATTATTATTATCATTTACCATCATTATAGTTGTTATCATCCTTATAATTTATACCGTAGTCAATAATGAAGTTCCAACAAATTTATTGTGAAATGCTAAAGAGTTATGGCCGGGTTTTTGGCAGTACAGTATTGTAATACTCTTAAAAATCTCAATAGTTCATACACTTATTCTCAGCACTTTCAGGCATCACCTTTAGTGGTTTACGCTTACAAGAGAACAGAAAAAAAATTAAAGTGGAGGATTTTTTACTGGGGAAGTGGTACTG